GTTCTAGTTCTGTTCTAGTTCTATTCTAGTTCTGTTCTAGTTCTGTTCTAGTTCTGTTCTAGTTCTGTTCTAGTTCTGTTCTAGTTCTGTTCTAGTCTGTTCTAGTTCTGTTCTAGTTCTGTTCTAGTTCTGTTCCAGTTCTGTTCTAGTTCTGTTCTAGTTCTGTTCTAGTTCTGTTCTAGTTCTGTTCTAGTTCTGTTCTAGTTCTGTTCTAGTTCTGTTCTAGTTCTGTTCTAGTTCTGTTGTTGTTCTGTTCTAGTTCTGTTCTATTTCTGTTCTAGTTTATTGCTAGTTCTTTTTCAAGTCTGTTCAACTTCATACCTTTGAGTAGTAATTTATTTTGCTGGGTTATAGTTAAACTCCAATCTACAGATATGTGGCAGACTTACAAATGTGTTTGTTAGTTATTTTAGAATAAACCATTATGTGCATATGGGTTGCTGTCGTTTTTTATATTCAATGATTTTCACCATTGTTGCAATAAACTAAAGTAGCACAAGTGATAAGTAACCTAATAGTACAAAATGCTATTTACAGATATAAAAGGAAGGAAATACGTTAGCCAAGGAGTTTAGTGAATTAAAAATGAACCATCATAACCACAATATGTGGCAGTAAATAAACTAAAAGAAATAATATTCCAAGAAATACAGTACGAGTATTTAAGCTTATCTATCAGTAAAATGGTAACACTCTTCAGACACAAAAGGAAACAACCACACAATCAAACAATAATAACAATTACATTTAACCACTCATGCACACACACTCACAAACAAACTCCTATCTCAAACAAACAAATAATACTTTAAAATCCTTAAAGGCCTTCAAGGCTAAAAATAAAATAAAAGTTTTACTTTTTTAGGAAAATAATACTTTTACTAACATTTTCATACGAAACCCCATTACACAGTAGAACGAATATTAACTAAAATATACTTACTTACATATGTTTGAAAAAAAGAAAAGGAAAATAAACTATAGCGTAAATGTATGAATGTGTTAAGAATCCTGCTTACAAACATTATCCTGCCAATGTTTATATTGTAGTAAAATGGAGAGGAAAAAAAAACTACTAAGTAATAATAGTAATGGCATAAAGTCGGTACAATAGGAAACAAAAAACGAGAAAAGGCGTAAAATAAGTTTATTTTAGATTTAAAACATCAACAGGAAAAAATACAATAGAAATTGTTAACATTGTACACAGTATTGAAATACTTACGACATGATACAACAACAAAAAATGAGCAAACAAATAAATGGTGGAAAAAATGCCAGCCGTTTTTTATCCTGCCACTGATCCTTGGCAAATATTTGAAAGTATTTATGTTATGTATGTGTTAGTAATCGTCCTTTTTGTGTACACATACGCACACATGTTTGTACATATGTTTCCTTTTTTTTTTGGTATAAGGCTAACAAGTCATATTAAGTATATGTTGGTAACTTCAATTACAACCTTTTGTATACTTTTTTTGCTAATAAAATTTACAAATGTTTGCCTCGAAGGTTGGAAAATTATCTAGAACGAATCGTTTTATAGAGGATTTTGTAGTATTATCTAAAAGTGGTTACGGCTGGCTATAATTTGGGAAAATTTTAAAAGATTTAAAAATTGACAAAAAGGCCGGAAGTCGTTGTTGTGAAAATTTTTAAAAGAAAAGTTTGTTTTTGAAGTTTATCAACAAAGCATGTAATGGGAGTTGTAATAGGAATTACAGGGAAAATATATATATTGATGTTAGTGATGAAGGAGATTTGCTTTTATAGGCTAGATTAGCTTGATAAACTGGAAATATTAAAATATAGCTAATTTTAATGTTTTAACAAAGTTACAAGCAATTTTAAAATTTTTAAATTTCAAAATTTTAAATGAAATAAAAATTATTAATATTATTTATTAAAATTTTAAAACGAATGACTCACCTCTTTTTTGCAAACATAGCAAACATCCTCACCTCATGCCATCACCTAATCCCTGATTAATGTAATTTACGCTTACAATACCCTCCCCCATAACAAAAATTCATATTTGCTCGCGAACGGCAAAGTACCCTGTTGAGTTAGACATTTTTTTCTGATTAACAATTGTTTGAAAACAATTTTAAAATATGTACAAAGTGTAAATCTTAACGCCTTGCAAATGAGATTCCTTAAGGGCATTGTTGCAATTACCAGGCAGTCAACCAACCAAGCAAGCAGTAACCCACCCAGCCAGCTCTAGCTATTAAGTGCAACAAATGCAATTAAGTTCAATGAGTTGAATGTTGCACGTTGTTATATTTTTTAAAACGCAATGCTAATGTACAATTGCCACTGAAAACCTTAATGTTGGGAAGTTGAATGGCCATCGTCGTTATCATCAACATTGTGGTGGATGGAAGGTTATAGAAGAGTGAATTCTTCTAGTTCAGTTCTAGTTCAGTTTTAGTTCAGTTCTAGTTAAGTTCTAGTTCTGTTCTAGTTCTGTTTCTAGTTCTGTTCTGGTTCTGTTCAAGTTCTGTTCTAGGTGTGTGTCTAGTTGTGTTCTAGTTGTGTTCTAGTTGTGTTCTAGTGTGTCTAGTTGTTCTAGTTTGTTCTAGTGCTTCTAGTTCTGTTCTAGTTCTGTCTGTTTCTGTTCTAGTTTCTGTTCTAGTTCTGTTCTAGTTCTGTTCTAGTTCTGTTCTAGTTCTGTTCTAGTTCTGTTCTAGTCTGTTCTAGTTCTGTTCTAGTTCTGTTCTAGTTCTGTTCTAGTTCTGTTCTAGTTCTGTTCTAGTTCTGTTCTAGTTCTGTTCTAGTTCTGTTCTAGTTCTGTTCTAGTTCTGTTCTAGTTCTGTTCTAGTTCTGTTCTAGTTCTGTTCTAGTTCTGTTCTAGTTCTGTTCTAGTTCTGTTCTAGTTCTGTTCTAGTTCTGTTCTAGTTCTGTTCTAGTTCTGTTCTAGTTCTGTTCTAGTTCTGTTCTAGTTCTGTTCTAGTTCTGTTCTAGTTCTGTTCTAGTTCTGTTCTAGTTCTGTTCTAGTTCTGTTAGTTCTGTTCTAGTTCTGTTCTAGTTCTGTTCTAGTTCTGTTCTAGTTCTGTTCTAGTTCTGTTCTAGTTCTGTTCTAGTTCTGTTCTAGTTCTGTTCTAGTTCTGTTCTAGTTCTGTTCTAGTTCTGTTCTAGTTCTGTTCTAGTTCTGTTCTAGTTCTGTTCTAGTTCTGTTCTAGTTCTGTTCTAGTTCTGTTCTAGTTCTGTTCTAGTTCTGTTCTAGTTCTGTTTCTAGTTCTGTTCTAGTTCTGTTCTAGTTCTGTTCTAGTTCTGTTCTAGTTCTGTTCTAGTTCTGTTCTAGTTCTGTTCTAGTTCTGTTCTAGTTCTGTTCTAGTTCTGTTCTAGTTCTGTTCTAGTTCTGTTCTAGTTCTGTTCTAGTTCTGTTCTAGTTCTGTTCTAGTTCTGTTCTAGTTCTGTTCTAGTTCTGTTCTAGTTCTGTTCTAGTTCTGTTCTAGTTCTGTTCTAGTTCTGTTCTAGTTCTGTTTCTAGTTCTGTTCTAGTTCTGTTCTAGTTCTGTTCTAGTTCTGTTCTAGTTCTGTTCTAGTTCTGTTCTAGTTCTGTTCTAGTTCTGTTCTAGTTCTGTTCTAGTTCTGTTCTAGTTCTGTTCTAGTTCTGTTCTAGTTCTGTTCTAGTTCTGTTCTAGTTCTGTTCTAGTTCTGTTCTAGTTCTGTTCTAGTTCTGTTCTAGTTCTGTTCTAGTTCTGTTCTAGTTCTGTTCTAGTTCTGTTCTAGTTCTGTTCTAGTTCTGTTCTAGTTCTGTTCTAGTTCTGTTCTAGTTCTGTTCTAGTTCTGTTCTAGTTCTGTTCTAGTTCTGTTTCTAGTTCTGTTCTAGTTCTGTTCTAGTTCTGTTCTAGTTCTGTTCTAGTTCTGTTCTAGTTCTGTTCTAGTTCTGTTCTAGTTCTGTTCTAGTTCTGTTCTAGTTCTGTTCTAGTTCTGTTCTAGTTCTGTTCTAGTTCTGTTCTGTTCTGTTCTAGTTCTGTTCTAGTTCTGTTCTAGTTCTGTTCTAGTTCTGTTCTAGTTCTGTTCTAGTTCTGTTCTAGTTCTGTTCTAGTTCTGTTCTAGTTCTGTTCTAGTTCTGTTCTAGTTCTGTTCTAGTTCTGTTCTAGTTCTGTTCTAGTTCTGTTCTAGTTCTGTTCTAGTTCTGTTCTAGTTCAGTTCTAGTTCAGTTCTAGTTCAGTTCTAGTTCAGTTCTAGTTCAGTTCTAGTTCACTTCTAGTTCAGTTCTAGTTCAGTTCTAGTTCAGTTCTAGTTCAGTTCTAGTTCAGTTCTAGTTCAGTTCTAGTTCAGTTCTAGTTCAGTTCTAGTTCTAATTCTGTTCTAGTTTAGTTCATGTTCATGTCTAAGGTGCAATCCAACAACATTTAATACCTTAACACTTCTGTTTCCGTTAACCCAACACCTCATTTGAGGGATGTTTAAGCCTATTTAAGTAATTACGTTTGTTTGTGAGTGTTTTGGTGTAAGAAATCTGGTTACTTAATTTATGATACAATAACAACAACAATGGTTAAAAAATATGAAACCAAAATTGCAATTGTTAATATACATTTATTCTGGGGTTTTTAGAAGGAACAACCCTCAGGGGTTTTGCAAAATAGAAACGATTTATTAAAAGGCGTGTGTTACTACAACACACATTCAAAAGAAAACATAAGGGCTGAATGGAACAAATAAAGTTTACATCTAATTAAAAACACAATTTTAATCTAATTTGAAAATTGTTTTTAAGTTTTCAAATGCAAAGACAAGTAGGCAGCTGAAACCGGAAATAAAAATATATTTCTGTCTGTGTTTCAGGGTAATAATTAATTCCAGAATGTTGTATTCTAATAAATATTAGCATGTAAAGATTCTTGACCTGTTAGTATAGCAGTGAAATGAAATAACAAGTTTTTTGACAATTATTTCATTTAAGTGAAAATGTGTTCTAAATTGCAACCAAAACATTTTTTAAATTTTATTTTTAACTCCTTTTTTTCTGTTGTGTATTTTTAGATTTGCTACAGATTTTATTGACATACGAGAAAAGGAAACTAGACGTGGCACACGTGGTGCTGGCAATCCAGAAAAACGTGGCAGACAACAACGTTTACAACAAAGGCGACAACAGCAGCAGCAGCAGCAACAGCTTTTACAGCAGCAAATGTTGGCAGATGATGCTTCAGTTTCTATGACCTCTTCACAAAAGAATGAAACCGTGACAACAACTAAACAACAGCAGCAACAACAACAACAAAATCAAAATTCCAACAATGATCATAAAACTAGCAACGGAACATTGTCATCACCATCATCATCTTTAGCCTCAGCTGTAGTTAAGTCAAGTGACTTTAAATCTTTTGAAAATTCCAATAAAAATGTCAGCACAAATGCAACAACAACAACACTAACAGTTTCGGGAACGAGAAATACCAACAGTAACATTAGTAATGGTCCTAATAAAATTGACATGACACCAGATTTAAACGGCAACGATATGACACACTCTTCTTCCTCATCAGCCCAACAAATCAAACAACAACAGCAGCAACAGCAATTGCCATCAATAACACGTTCATCTTCAGTGGCACCTCCTCGACAGGAGGAATCATCCGAAGAGGATAGCGGTGGTGGAGTTCGCATTAAACCAGAAGATTTATTAGAATTACAAGAACGTATAACAAAGGAAATACTCAATTCGAAATTACAGGAAAAGGAAATGCTTGAATTACAGGTAAAACTTTAAGTATTAGTAAATAATATACACACGGAACTGTACAAAACAGGACTCCTTCTTCATTCTAACCTTATTAACGTTTTTCAATTGTGTGCGTTTTATGTTCATTTTATTTTCTCTGTTTAGAGTAATTTTATTTACTCTTTATATTAGAGTTTTTATACTTTTTTTGTATTGTTCCTGTTGTTGTGCTTTAATGTTGTTTTGTATATCCTTTTAACTGTAAGCATGTGTGTGTGTGTGTATATGTCTGTGAGTGGGTGTTTATTTGCCGTGGGGGTATTAGTGGCAAACCAATAAATATTTCTATTTGCATTAGAATGTAGTTATTTGCAATTGGTTTCTAACAGTCGCTTTCTCCGCTCTGTGTTTGTTTTCTTTTATTAATGTTATAAATTTAAATTTTAAATGTTTGATGGCTTAAAGGTAGAGAATTTTGTTAAATTCTAAACATATTCGTGTAGTAATTTTTCCAACTGAATCACATTAAATCAGGGTATTTATATTATTTTATAGCTATAGAGGGAATTTACGAATATTTCGTTGTTTATAAATGAAATTTAAATTCAAAATTTTAATAGCTTTTAGCGTTGTTTTAAACAGATAACAATTAGGAGTGTTTAAATCTCCGCAAAAACTTACATTAAAAAGTAATGACTTAGAAATCAAAATGATAAAACTCAAAATAAGTACTTACTTATATGATTATATGTAAGTCATTATTAAAGTACTTAAAAGTAATGCTGACAGTATGTGGTAGTCATTAAAACTGTTTGCTTTTGATCTCACATTCCTTGAATATTCCAATAATGTATCTATATTCTGAACCTGTATAGATGGAGGAGTCGATTAAGCCATGTCCATCTGTCTGTCCGTCTGTCTGTTTGTCTGTCTGTCTGTCTGTCTGTCTGTCTGTCTGTCTGTCAGTCTGTCTATCTGTTTGCCCGTCTGTGTGCCTGTCTGTCTGTTGAAATCAGTTTTCTGAAGACCCCAGCTATCTTCTGCATTTATCTATCTGTTTGTCCGTCCATCTGTGTGTCTGTTGAAATCAGTTTTCTGAAGACCCCAGCTATCTTCTCAATCCAAATTTTCAATCATTTTATCAGACAGGCTTTCGAGAATGAATAAAGCAATACAGATGGATAAATTATACGGACAGACTGATAGACCGACTTGTCAATATGGTCTTATAGTTATACAAAATCGACACTACAACAATCATGATCGGTCAAATGGTGTTTCTTAAAGAAAATTATATGTGGCCAGATGAAATTTGTAAACAATTTAAAATATTTTCTCAAATTCTTATTTAAATTTTCTAACTATAAAGATACCCCTCTCCATTTCCACGATGTTAAACCGAACAAGGTACAAATAATCATGACATTCACATAATTGCCTTTCACATCACAATAACATTTAACCACGATATAAGGAAATATCAAAAACTTTTCATTTCATTACCAGGACAACCGGAGAAAAATATAAAATAGTTTTTCCTGTTCGACAGCAATAACATACATACAATGCAAGAGGAAAAGTTATTAAACGTTTTTTAATTTAAAGCTTTGATAAAAAATAAAGTTTTCACATAACGTGAAAAACAATCAAGAAAGTTGTAAGGATTTTTTTTTCGCAATTATATACGACAAACAATGAGTGTCAAAAGTAAACGTACACCTTAGTAAATTATGTAAAAAGTTTTAGTTAAAAATTAAATTAAAAAAAAATGTTTAAGTTTTTTAAATTTATAAGAGATTCATGTCTAAATCAATGATAATGACTTACTTTTGATGATTACAGTACGCAATTGTTTTTGCATTGGTACAGATTCGTATGACTTCATATTAATATTAAGGAACAAAGGATTTTTTAAATGTTATGCATCTTGTCATGCATATAACGGTGAAAATTTCTTGTCTAGTCTATAGTCTAGTCTATAGTCTAGTCTATAGTCTAGTCTATAGTCTAGTCTATAGTCTAGTCTATAGTCTAGTCTATAGTCTAGTCTATAGTCTAGTCTATAGTCTAGTCTATAGTCTAGTCTATAGTCTAGTCTATATTCTAGTCTATAGTCCAGTTTGTGGTCTAGTCTGTACTATGATCTAGTCTATAGTGTAATCTGTATTCTAGTCTGTAGTCTAGTCTATAGTCTAGCCTATAGTCTTGTATGTAGTCTATTCTATAGTCTAGTATATAGTATAGTATATAGTCTGGTTTATAGTCTAGTCTATAGTCTAGTCTATAGTCTAGTCTATAGTCTAGTCTATAGTCTAGTCTATAGTCTAGTCTATAGTCTAGTCTATAGTCTAGTCTATAGTCTAGTCTATAGTCTAGTCTATAGTCTAGTCTATAGTCTAGTCTATAGTCTACTCTATAGTCTAGTCTATAGTCTAGTCTATAGTCTAGTCTATAGTCTAGTCTATAGTCTAGTCTATAGTCTAGTCTATAGTCTAGTCTATAGTCTAGTCTATAGTCTAGTCTAAAGTCTAGTCTATAGTCTAGTCTATAGTCTAGTCTATAGTCTAGTCTATAGTCTAGTCTATAGTCTAGTCTATAGTCTAGTCTATAGTCTAGTCTATAGTCTAGTCTATAGGTCTAGTCTATAGTCTAGTCTATAGTCTAGTCTATAGTCTAGTCTATAGTCTAGTCTATAGTCTAGTCTATAGTCTAGTCTAAGTCTAGTCTATAGTCTAGTCTATAGTCTAGTCTATAGTCTAGTCTATAAGTCTAGTCCTATAGTCTAGTCTATAGTCTAGTCTATAGTCTAGTCTATAGTCTAGTCTATAGTCTAGTCTATAGTCTAGTCTATAGTCTAGTCTATAGTCTAGTCTATAGTCTAGTCTATAGTCTAGTCTATAGTCTAGTCTATAGTCTAGTCTATAGTCTAGTCTATAGTCTAGTCTATAGTCTAGTCTATAGTCTAGTCTATAGTCTAGTCTATAGTCTAGTCTATAGTCTAGTCTATAGTCTAGTCTATAGTCTAGTCTATAGTCTAGTCTATAGTCTAGTCTATAGTCTAGTCTATAGTCTAGTCTAGTCTAGTCTATAGTCTATCTAGTCTAGTCTATAGTCTAGTCTATAGTCTAGTCTATAGTCTAGTCTATAGTCTAGTCTATAGTCTAGTCTATAGTCTAGTCTATAGTCTAGTCTATAGTCTATTCTATAGTCTAGTCTATAGTCTAGTCCTATAGTCTATTCTATAGTCTAGTCTATAGTCTAGTCTATAGTCTATTCTATAGTCTAGTCTATAGTCTAGTCTATAGTCTATTCTATAGTCTAGTCTATAGTCTAGTCTATAGTCTAGTCTATAGTCTAGTCTATAGTCTAGTCTATAGTCTATCTATAGTCCTAGTCTATAGTCTAGTCTATAGTCTAGTCTATAGTCTAGTCTATAGTCTAGTCTATAGTCTAGTCTATAGTCTAGTCTATAGTCTAGTCTATAGTCTAGTCTATAGTCTAGTCTATAGTCTAGTCTATAGTCTAGTCTATAGTCTAGTCTATAGTCTAGTCTTCTAGTCTATAGTCTAGTCTATAGTCTAGTCTATAGTCTAGTCTATAGTCTAGTCTATAGTCTAGTCTAGTCTATAGTCTAGTCTAGTCTATAGTCTAGTCTATAGTCTAGTCTATAGTCTAGTCTATAGTCTAGTCTATAGTCTAGTCTATAGTCTATTCTATAGTCTAGTCTATAGTCTAGTCTATAGTCTAGTCTATAGTCTAGTCTATAGTCTAGTCTATAGTCTAGCCTATAGTCTAGTCTATAGTCTAGCTAGTCTAGTCTATAGTCTAGTCTATAGTCTAGTCTATAGTCTAGTCTATAGTCTGGTCTATAGTCTAGTCTATAGTCTAGTCTATAGTCTAGTCTATAGTCTGGTCTATAGTCTAGTCTATAGTCTAGTCTATAGTCTAGTCTAGTCTAGTCTATAGTCTAGTCTAGTCTATAGTCTAGTCTATAGTCTAGTCTATAGTCTAGTCTATAGTCTAGTCTATAGTCTAGTCTATAGTCTAGTCTATAGTCTAGTCTATAGTCTAGTCTATAGTCTAGTCTATAGTCTAGTCTATAGTCTAGTCTATAGTCTAGTCTATAGTCTAGTCTATAGTCTAGTCTATAGTCTAGTCTATAGTCTAGTCTATAGTCTAGTCTATAGTCTAGTCTATAGTCTAGTCTATAGTCTAGTCTATAGTCTAGTCTATAGTCTAGTCTATAGTCTAGTCTATAGTCTAGTCTATAGTCTAGTCTATAGTCTAGTCTATAGTCTAGTCTATAGTCTAGTCTATAGTCTAGTCTATAGTCTAGTCTATAGTCTAGTCTATAGTCTAGTCTATAGTCTAGTCTATAGTCTAGTCTATAGCCTAGTCTATAGTCTAGTCTATAGTCTAGTCTATAGTCTAGTCTATAGTCTAGTCTATAGTCTAGTCTATAGTCTAGTCTATAGTCTAGTCTATAGTCTAGTCTATAGTCTAGTCTATAGTATAGTCTATAGTCTAGTCTATAGTTTAGTCTATAATCTAGTCTATAGTCTAGTCTTAGTCTAGTCTATAGTCTAGTCTATAGTCTAGTCTATAGTCTAGTCTATAGTCTAGTCTATAGTCTAGTCTATAGTCTAGTCTATAGTCTAGTCTATAGTCTAGTCTATAGTCTAGTCTATAGTCTAGTCTATATTCTAGTCTATATTCTAGTCTATAGTCTAGTCTATAGTCTAGTCTATAGTCTAGTCTATAGTCTAGTCTATAGTCTAGTATAGTCTAGTCTATAGTCTAGTCTATAGTCTAGTCTATAGTCTAGTCTATAGTCTAGTCTATAGTCTAGTCTATAGTCTAGTCTATAGTCTAGTCTATAGTCTAGTCTATAGTCTAGTCATATAGTCTATAGTCTAGTCTATAGTCTAGTCTATAGTCTAGTCTATAGTCTAGTCTATAGTCTAGTCTATAGTCTAGTCTATAGTCTAGTCTATAGTCTAGTCTATAGTCTAGTCTATAGTCTAGTCTATAGTCTAGTCTATAGTCTAGTCTATAGTCTAGTCTATAGTCTAGTCTATAGTCTAGTCTATAGTCTAGTCTATAGTCTAGTCTATAGTCTAGTCTATAGTAGTCTAGTCTATAGTCTAGTCTATAGTCTAGTCTATAGTCTAGTCTATAGTCTAGTCTATAGTCTAGTCTATAGTCTAGTCTATAGTCTAGGTCTATAGTCTAGTCTATAGTCTAGTCTATAGTCTAGTCTATAGTCTAGTCTATAGTCTAGTCTATAGTCTAGTCTATAGTCTAGTCTATAGTCTAGTCTATAGTCTAGTCTATAGTCTAGTCTATAGTCTCAGTCGATAGTCTAGTCTATAGTCTAGGCCTATAGTCTAGTCCTATTAGTCTAGTCTATAGTCTAGTCTATAGTCTAGTCTATAGTCTAGTCTATAGTCTAGTCTATAGTCTAGTCTTATAGTATAGTCTATAGTCTGGTCTATAGTCTGGTCTATAGTCTAGTCCCTATGTAGGACCATTTTCCGAAATTCAAGGTGCTATAACAATAGTACACCTTACTTAACTTTTTTAACTACAATCCGTATTACTTCTGTTGAAATATTTCTTTGTATTAAATATTTAATTTCTTTGTGCTTTTCTTTTTCAGGAGAAAATCAATCGTGAAATTTTAAATTCCAAAGTTTTCAATATGGATGCTAATAATGGCGGCAGTGGTAAACGTAAAAAGAAACGTAAAAATCAACGTGCTGTCAATGGTATGTTGGCCGATGTCGGTAGTTATCCCAATAATCCAAGTGCACCGGGTGTTAGTGGCAGCAGCAGCAATAGCAATGGTGGCGGTGGTGGTGGTAAATGGAAAAATAGCATTTCAGCTAAAGCAAGAAGTTTAATGAATTTACACAACAATGAAGCCGGCAGGAGGGTAAGTTTTATTCGTGGGGAACTAAAAATTAAGCACACTTGAAAATTTGAATGTTATATTTTGTTATAGCAAATATCGTTTCCTTTTTTTGGAATGACCAAATAAAAGGGAAATATGTTCTACATTTAGCAATTTACATTGAAATGTAGAAATATTAGGGAAGACCAAAGTTTCATAGTAATTTTTATATATTTGACCTTTGACCTCAAAGGGAAATATATTAATCTTTCCTTTCTACTGATATAGCTTCTCGACGATAAATGCTGATATTAAACTTGTTGTCTTCTATTCTCTTGCATTCTCCTTATGAAATCTAAAAAACATTCCTTGGTCTCAACTGTTGTAGCAAAAACTCTTATCTGATTTTCATTTTAGGTGAATCAGTCTACTGTTTATGTATTTCTATTATAAATTTCCTGTTTTTTTGTTTGATTGTCAGTGGCTAATAGCCAATTTTGTATGTTTTAATCAAATTAGGCTCTACAAACAAAGCAACAAACATTACCGTCAATTATGTAGTTAGAAATTCTGGAGCATATAAAAGAATTAACTGTTAGCTAAGTCTAACATTTTGCAAATTATTTTCAGTTTAAACTGTCATTTAATAATTTAACAACAATTCAGACTTTAGACTACACTACAGACTAGACTATAGTCGTGACTATAGACGAGAATACAGACTAGACTATATTCCACACTATAGTTAAAACTATAGATTAACTAAAGTCCTGACTATAGAATTGATCTTGACTTTAGACTAGATTATAGTCCTGACCACAGTCCTAATTATAGACTAGACAATAGTCATGAATACATGTTAGGCTATTTTCCTGAATATAGACTAGACTATAGTTCTGACTAAAGGCTGGACTACAGTCCCGACTATAGACTAGAATACATTCTGACTATTGACCAGACTGTAGTCCTGACTATAGATCAGACTATAATGCTGACTTTCTTATAGGTTTGAATATAATTCCGTCTATAGTCTTGACTATAGTCCTGACTATATTTTAGACTATTTAGTCCTGACTAGATTATAGTCTAGGATAATGACTAGATTACAGTCATGACTACAGACTAGAATATACGCTAGACTATAATCCTGACTATAGCCAAGTTTACAGACTGTAGTCAATACTATTGTCCAGACTACAGGTTATACTATAGTCCTGAGTATAGACTAGACTATAATACTGACTATACACTTGACTATAGGTCAGACTATAGATTAAAGTCAAGGCTACAGACAATACTATAATCCAGACTTCAGACTAGACTATAGTCTTGACTACTGTCCTGGCTATACACTAGATTATATATAGACTATAGCACAGAGTACAGACTATAGACTAGACTACAGATAAAACTACAAAGTAGACTACAGGCCATACTGCAGACTGGACTATAGTCCAGACTACAGATAAGACGTCACACTAGTTTTATTATGATCCTGGCTATAGACTATAGTCCAGACTATAGACTATAGTCTGATTATAATCCATCTGGAGACTAAACTATTATCCAAACTATAGATTGGACTAATCTAAACTATAGACTGTGGACTTTAGTCAAGAATATGGACAGATGTAGATTTTTATCTACATCATTTTATATGTTTTGAAATTTCCAACAAAACTCACAACTATAAAAAAATTTGAAATTTTAAAATTGAATACATACCTTTTAAGTCCTGAACATAAACTATACAATACTGAGTTAGAACTTTCTCGTAGTTTTACAAACTAAAAGTCTAAACAGTTGATTGACACTAGTTTATAAATTTCTGTAATCCAGAGAGGTATTGCGTGGACAATTTTGGTCCCTTCATAGTGTTCTTACGTTTTCTAAAGAGAAATCACTTTAAACCAATTTTTTTTTTGGAACAGAACTAAGAAACTTAGTTAAATAAAATAAATTGAAGAGTCCTTTAACTTTTGAGCAGTTTTGCAAGGATTTTATGTCTTCTTTTTGGAGAGTATTTTAGGCAAATCTCTAACCATAAACTTGACTCAGTTTTATATAATTTTGAAACATTTGTCATTAGCAGTTCTATTAATATAGAGAGGAAAATAATCCTGACCTTTGGGAAAACTACCACAAACTGCAGGGTCATAAACAAACACAACTTCATTCATATATTCAAAAGTTAACATATGCTCACGCATAATCAAATACCAACACACAGTCATACACACACAAACATTTTATTAACATATACTAGCACAATTTGTTTATGATTTAAAAATTTGAATTTTTAGCTTTAGGCCAAACAAAAATAAAATTAAATCAAATCTGTTTTTGTGATTTCCTTCTTTCAGCCATAAAATGAAAACAAATTTGTTTGCATGTTTTATGTATATTAAATAAATGATTTGAAAAAAAATATTAAAAACAAAATAAAAGAAAAATTAAAAAAAAAATTAAAATCTATTTGTTAAGATTTAACAAACACATCCTTGCTGTGATTATAATCAATAAACTCCTAAGTAGATATAGTTTTATTTCTCCAACATAGATTCTGAAAAATATTAAATCTTTAGATTTCAAAAAAGGCTTTTCTACGAACGTATAGTTTTCGAGTTAGGCTATTATTTCAGGTGATCACAGACATCTACATGAAAGTAAATGCACACACATACAAAATACCAATATTTACATTTTCAATATGTTAGTTTTGTAATAATATTATTACTGTATATATGTTTTTTGTATGCTTATGTCCTTTAGATATTTGTACTTTCTCTCGTTTTTCCTTTTGCTCCCTCTCTCTCTCTCTCTATCACACCCACAGATTTATCTGTTGTTTATTGAACTCAAATTGTAAATATGCAACAGGTTGTTGTTTTTGTATGTAAATATTTATATTGTGATAGTGGGTGGTTGTGGTATTTGTAAAATACTTGTTTATAAATGATTTCATTTTTTTCAGATTATTTTTTCTCAGAAAAAAAGAGAAAAAAACAATTTCCGTTATTTTTCTTTGTGGTTATTGTATTTTACTACGTTTAACTTTATAAAAAAAAAATGAAAATTCTTATATTTGCATGAATATGAATGAAAATGTAAATATTTTCAAAGTAAAAAGTTGATTGATTTCTAGTAATAAAAGAAACGGTTGAAGGGAAATCATACGACTAGTTGATAGTCTAGGAATATATAGAGTAGACTATGTCAGAGACCAGCCTAGAGTATATTGACTAGATTCAGTTCAGAATCTTGTCAATAGACAAGTCTAGATACAGGTCAAATAATAGTCCAGAAACTAGTCAAAACGCTAGTTCAGAGATTAATCAATAGAACAGTCGAGAGAATAGTTAAGAGTAAAGTCCAGAGACTAGGCAATATGGATTAGTCTAGAGACTAATCCATTGACTAGTCAAAAGATTAGTCCAACATCAATATAGGCTAGATAATAGACAAGTCTGCCGACCAATATAGTGACTAGATGAAAGACAAGTCGGAAGACTTCTCGAGCGACTTGTCAGTAGACTAGCCCAGACACTAGTCAGTAGACTACTTAGTATAGAGACTAGTCAGTAAACTAGTAAGGAGACTAGTATGGATACTACTATAGTAACTAGCCCGTAGACTAATATAGAGACTAGCCAGTAGACTAGTATAGAGACTAGTCTATAGTCTAGTTCATTGACCAGTCCATAGAATAACCAATATATTAGTCAGCTGAATAGTCCAGAGACCAGTCCAAAGAAAACTCAAGAGACTAGTCAATAGACTAGTTCAGACTCTAGTTAGTAGACTATAATAGAAACCAGTACAGAGAATAGTCAGTAGACTAGTACAGAGTCAATAGTCCAGAGACTTGTTCAGAGACTAGTCCATAGACTAACCAATAGACTATTTCAGGTACTAGTCTATAGAATAGTATACACTTATTCAGGTCCAGAGACTAGTCTATATAATAGACTATTCAATAGACCTGTTCAGAGACTAGTCTATAGAATAGTATAGTCTTAGTCAACAGACTAGTATAAAACTTAGTCAATAGACTAATATAGATATTAGTCGCTAGTACAGTGACTAGTCAATAGAACAGTCTAAAATCTTGTCAGGCTAGAGATTAGTCAGTAATGTCGCGAGACTAGTCAGTAGACTAGTCAATAGATTGGTCTGTTCATTAGTACAAAGACTACTCGAGAGAATATAACAGTCCATAGAGTAGTTAATAGACTGGTCCAGAGACTAGCCGGTGGAATAGTACAGAGATTAGCCAATTGATTTGTCAAAAACTTGTCAGGTGATCAGTTCAAAGAGTAGTTGATATACTAATCTATAGGATAATTCAATAGATTAGATCATAGACTCATCAGCAGACTGGTCCATAAACTAATCAACAAACTAGTCAATACTCTAGTCTATAGTAGGGTTCTATAAATCGACTTTCGAATAATCGAACAATCGACTTTTTGTTGAATAAAGTCAAAAAGTCGAAGTTGACTATTTTGTTCCAAAAAAGTCGATAACTCGACTATCGTCTGTGAAAAAAGTCGAACAGTCGACTTTGTTAATAAAAGTCGAAAAGTCTAAAAGTCGAAAAAGTCGAAAAAAGTCGGAAAAAGTCGAAAAGTCAAAAAAGTCGGAAAAAGGCGAAAAAAGTCGGAAAAAGTCAAAAAGTCTAAAACTCGAAAATTATATAAAAAAGTTAAAAATAGTCGAAAATTTAAAAAAAAGTGGAAAAAAAGTCAAAAACTCTAAAATAGTCGGAAAAACTCAAAATAAATCAAAAAATAGTCGAAAAAGTCGAAAAAGTCCAAAGAAGTCGAAAACAGTCGAAAAATGTCGGAAAAAGTCGAAAAGTCGACTTTTAATTAAATGAAAAAAGTCGAAAAGTCGACTTTTTGTTTCAACTATAGAACCCTAGTCTATAGACTATTCAATATGCTAGTCAATAGCCTATCCATAGACAAGATCGCGATTATAGGGCGTCACTTTACGAAATGCCGAATCATAAAGTGTCGGATCTTCAAGGTCCTTTTTAA